CTATATTTGAGAAAAAAATATCCACAAAATAAATTGTTTTACAGTATAAAGAAAGTAAATTATATCAATAATCCAAAATGCAATTATACTGGTTTTGTACTAAGTTTTGTAAAACATAGAGTGCAGTTAATGGATAAAAGAATGAGTTGGTATACGTCAATGTATATCCAACGACACAAAAAGACCCGATCTTATGTAATGCTACTAAACCCAGAATGGTTTTAAGATAGTCAGAACATTTTGAAGGGTGCTACTAATGATTAGAAGCTTCTTACCTCTTCGGAGAACTCGAATGCGACTCGGTTTTCTCTTACTCAACCTTTAGTAATCTGTGAAGTGTTTTTCCGTCATTTGAACTATGGTGGATAGTTGTCTCCTAGGTCATTATACCACATCTCCTTATTTCTATACTTATATCATTTCCTATTGTTAATTATCCATTTTTAGATGGTGACGTTCCCTTGTCACCATCTTATGGTGTTTATATATCTCAACTTGTTCGATTCGCTCGTGAATGTAACAACGTATTTGATTTTAACGAAATAAATCTCTGTATTACTGAAAAATTATTACACTAGGGTTTTCGATATCACAAACTATTCAAAACATTTACTAAATTTTACCTTCGGTTCAAGGACATCATTCGTAAATATAAATCAACATGCAGACATCTTATACGTTCAGGTATTTCACATACTATCTTTTATGGTAATATTCTTTACAAAGCAAAAAAATGTCGGCATTCACCTCAAACGCTAACCAAATCTTTAAACAGACTTAATCAGAAGGGATATAGTTACGATACTGTTGTCAGGTCATTAAAGATGGCATATTTTGGTATTAATATTGATTCACTCATAGGGTCTTTGCATCGGAAATAAACACATTTATTCTAAAACCAGTTGTTGGCATGATACCGGTTATGTTCTTCTCATATATTTTATGATGGTATGATACTAAACCCCTAACGGGACGGATTGTTCTTGATTTTCATATGATGAAGACAAAATCTATCAATCAGTTAAATTGAGGTCTTGAGCTGGCATGTCAGTAACTGCTAGCAGTCCTTTGTTAATTTATGTTTTGTTAATTTATGATCATTTTCATTTTGCTTAGTTTCTTTTGTTACCTATTCTGACATCGGACTCTGACTTCTTTTAAACTGAGTTTTACTGTACCTATTGCTGTGTGTTTGTTTAATCTACATTGGCTAGAGGTATAGGGGGAGGGTTGAGATCTCACTAAACATGTTTAACACCGCCGCATTGTTGCGCCTGTCCCAAGTCAGGAGCCTCTGGCCTTTGTTAGTCTTGTATGTTTTTTTGATTTTAGTTCATTTATATGTTTAGGAGTTTATTATGACGTCCATTTTCACAGAACTAGTACACATTTTTGTTTAGGGGCCAGCTGAAGTCCGCCTCCGGGTGCGGGATTTTCTCGCTGTGTTGAAGACCCATTGGTGGCCTTCAGCTATGTTTTTTACTCTTTGGTCGGGTTGTTCCCCATTTCCATTCTCTATTTTATATGATGCTTCTAAAGCAGGACTGGTTCTAACTTAACCAGAACACTATAAAGGCCACTACAAGTCAAATAGAAGCTTCTTATCTTTTCGACACACTCGAATTCGACCCGGTTTTGGTCGGATTTCTCTTATTCAACCTCGAGTATTCGGTAAAGGGTTTTGTGAAAAGTTTTTGAATAATGGCCATGGATTTGTCTGTTTTTCTATATCTTATCTTTTTGTTGCCCCTTGATATTTTCTTCTTTAAATGTTAGTGCAAATTGTTATTTTTACTTGTTATAACATATTGCTTGACTATAGAACTTTCAATATTACTATCTATTTTTTTTTTTTGGTATGAAGACTCACCCTTGCTAAACTGTGTTTTTAACCATACATTTTCTGATGAGTCGTCAATTTTGACAAGATATCCACCTATTTGACGACATTTTTTCTGCAATAAAACAAAGATGGTTACTAGGCAAAAGATTATTTCAACGCAGCTTCTCTGATTTCATTGAAGAAGATAAAACACAAAATAAAAATAAATTAGACAAATATAAAACATAACTTTAAAAAATGAAAAAGTAGATATTTCCAATAGAATGTGTTGCTTACAGAGTCATGCGTAAAAATTACTAAAATGTATATATATAGTGTGAGACTCTATTGAAAATTCATTATACGACCACAGATCAACACGTTAAGTTGAATTATGCCAATCGTTTCAACTGCAAACTCCACATAAGCAAATTTCAGATAAGCATGTTTGGTTGAATTCTTTACACTCTTTCCTACGTGCAGACAACAGATCAGGACGTTTTGTTGAATTATGCCACTTGTTCCGACGAACAGATGACACATTACCATGTTTGGTTGCATTATGTCACTTTTTCCCATCCGCAGACTACAGACGATGCTGCAGCACGTTCGGTTAAATTCTGAAACACGATACATGTAATGAACTAGCTTACTCTTGCATTATAGTTTAGCCTCCTCAAATGCAGGACACTTCCAAATAATTTAACTTTACCCTTTTCCGACTACAGAATAAAAATGAATTGTGAGTGTACTACACTTATAAGTTATTATGTGAGCAAAACATTTATCTTACCTCTGCGGTGAACCAAGTTTCGGGGTCTCCCCCAAGATAATAACAATGATCTTTGTACGTCTTCCATTCTTTCTCTGTCAATTTATAAACACAACAATATACTTATACATTTTTCTTGTTCTTGAACATCGATATGTCTGATTTGCATGTCAAACGATATACTAGTATTGTAATTCTTGAAGATAATTAAAACTGGATATAACCATTTATATATATTCCCAGTAATAGGAATTATCGAAATTATTTAATTTCTTTTAAAATATCCAATGTGCAAGTGAAAAATAAATAATCGATTGATGGTACAAACAGATTGCATAAGTGTGACATTCTTTTATATACAGCATGCATTCCATCTAACGAAATTCATTTTGAAAATTCAAAGCAGCACAGGGTAGCGAATGCAGTAAAAAAATCAAAATGATGAGAAATTACTACCAATTCAAATCTTTTTATGAAAATTATAATAATCTACAGGCAACTGATCACATTCGTGTAATTTTGAATAAACCATCTTTTTGAGGTATGGATTTGAAAGAAAAATAAATGTTTGATTGTAAATCTTTAAAATGAATTATTTCATAAGGGAATTAAAAATATGATTTGTTTCTAATGAAAAAAGATTTTTAAAAAGTAGATAAATGCAACACTGATAAGGATAAAATTATATAGTTCTTGTTTGCTTTGACAAAAATGTTTGTCATTAAAGTTAATAGGGAAAAAATATCCCCACCACCCCTTACCCACACACATACAAGATCACACCAGTGGATGATTGTTTAACGTCCATGGCAAGTTAAATGCATATTGCTGACGAGAACATGTTAATGTGATCTAAATAAGAACCCTGCTTTGTACTAGACCGACACGCTGAGCCGGCTAGTTCACTAGGTAACAGTCCGTAGAAGGACATATCGCCCTACCAGGACACGTTATTCTCACTACGGGCCGACCAGTCTTTGTTCTTACTCCTAAATGTCGCATGCTTAGCGAAGAAGCAGCAAATACCAACTTTCAAGTTTTGGTTTGACCTGGCTAGCGTTAAAACTAACGACCTCCCACACTCGAGGCGAAAACACTATTACGAGACCACCGATCTCAACATCACAACACGTATGGTCAGTGCCTTCTTTTACATGATACTACATGGTTAAATTGCAAATGCTTCAGTCTGCTGTTCTTGATTGCCTCCCTATCAACTAAGGTTTACAACTTTTTCGGTAAACAAATCTTGTTGATCAAGTCTTTGATCGTAAGAGAAAAGAACATTTAACTATTTCATATATGATGCCTCTCTATTGTTATTTTCCAGGAAAATAAGAATAGAGGGGCACCATATATAAACTACTGTTATTGAAATATCGTATGGATAAGAGCACATTAAATAAGTGAAAATAGGTTAAATATTTATTAAAATAAATTTAAAAAAAAAAAAAAAAAAAAAAAAAATATTTGAGAGGGTGGGGGTTCATTCCCCAAGCGCCTGTGAATTAATATGCAATCCAGGTTTTAACATTTTTAAAGTAAGCAGAACTGTACAAAAAAGAATTGATTCGAAATGTACATTGTACATAGGTAGCAATCATTTCAGGTCGAATTTCGAAATTTCAGAGCAATTATGTCTGTAAACTCAGAAGAATAGATTCCTGATTTTAGGCACCGACCATCTTAAATCTAGGGGGAAGAGAAGGGACAATATTTATGTATTTATAAAGTATTTTATTGGAAGAAACATAAATATGCGTTTAGACATGTTTTAGATACACTCACCAGAGATACAAGGCTTAAACATTTAGTACGCCAGGAGCGTGTTTTGTCTACATCTTTGACGCTCGAATTAAAAAAGTTAAAAAAAAAGGCCTAATAAAGTACGAAGTTGATGAGCATTGACGACCCAAAGTTCCGAAAGGTTTTGCTATAAGAAGTTAGTTCGATAACGTCCTATTTCTAGCTTAAATTCAAAATGAGGAGTTATTAACAAATATCACAATGAATCATAATGATTAATATAAACCCAAAACTAGAAAGGAAATAAGTCTTTTTGTGCAAAAATAACGTATTAGGCGTCACAAATAGCATACATATTGATTTTCCACGAAAAGTCAATGACTAATTTCCACTGATTTTTTTAACTACATTTGATTGAAATCAAGACGATTTTGTCAAATTTCACCAAAATCTCTACTTTTGGCCTTTTTGAGATAAACATATTACATCATATAACGCTTTGTACGAAAAACTTGACAAAAAAAGTTCTATTTTCCTTTCTTACGTGTCTATTTATCAATATGAAACCTTAATTATATTGAAATAATGCACTCAATATTCGAGACAAAATATAACTTACTTCTTTTTTCTAAATTTGTTTGAATTTTTAAAAGAACTTACTCTCTAGTTCCTTTTCCAGACCATCCAATGTCTTCTTTGTTTTCTCAAATATCTTCTTAGATTTGTCTGACAGACACGGCAAACAACAAACTTCAACTATCATTAAGGCAAGTATTACCAACACAGTATATGCAGCCATTTTATATCCTTAAAAATAAAAATTGAAACTTATACAGTTTCCAATGTTTACATATTCATCAGATGAAAAATTCAATTAAAATGTTAATTAAATAAGTTAACTAAATAGAGCATTAACCACAGATATATTAAATCATGTTTATTTTTTCAGGCTGAAGTAGCTGCATTGTAACTATTCACTTCGATTTACTAATACATTTGACAACCATCTTCAGAGTATGGTACCCTACGTTGTATATTCAGACGAGGTATACCGAATGATACTAGAAGTCATTTAACGTAGACCTTTTCAACCAAAACCATACACAAGTAAACACATCCTTTTCTTGCAGTTAGTCCGTTCAATTCGATGTTTATTTTAAGTTTATTTCTGTCATTTGTATTTTATCAGAATTGTCGAAGTGAAACAGCAAATTGCTTTTTGTAACTTTACCTTTGATTTTCAGCAAAATTACCCAAACAAGTGTGCTTTAAACACTTAAAAATATAAAAAAGTACTTGCTTACATTAGAATTTACTTTGTACAATGCAACTGTTGAAATGTATGGTTTCGGTTGAAAATGCTTAGGTAAATTCGACCAAAATTCATATATGTTAAGTTACCGGCAGGATTTTTCATTATTCGATACTAAGTATCCAATATCAAACAGGCTGCTAGCAGTCAAAAGTAAAAATAAACGTTTTAATATTTAATGAGATAAAAAAATAATAACAGTGCTAACCGTTAATATGAGCGAAAAGGGAGGCGGGGAACCATTTTGTGATCTCTGCACACAGTTATCGTAAATATACACTCTTACCGAAATCATAATGTTCTTTTTATAGTAAATATATTTCTTTTCAATAACATGGATTCGGAATTTATAGGAAAATGTCTACAAAGTTTGACCATTAACACCGGAACATTTACAAGATCTATATAAATTATCTTGACAACCACAGAAAGCATTTTTCAACTCGGTGTATTTTGTCCGTAAATTCTGGTATCCAAATTTATAGAAACACGAATAACAATTTCAATACACAGCTTACCTTTAGTTTAAATTACAATGTGCAATTACAATGAAAAGCTCGATGAAAAAGTATTATAGTGAATTTTGGGTCCTACAATGTCATTATAATGAGTTAGAAAACGAAATCAATGATCGACACACTGTCATGTTTAGATCATTTCCACGAAATTCAAGAACGGGAACAGATTTTGTTGTTATAGAATCTCTGTCTTGTTTTTATGGCATTTTCTATAATTTGCCATACATAAATATCCATGCTAAATGAAATATAATTGTATATATTTAACCAACAATACGACTGATTTCAATTCGTATTACCGATTTAAATATCATTGTGAGGGGGGATCTATTTAATTACGATTTTTTAATTTTATATTGAATTTTTTCATTTTTTTCTTTTTTTTATTCTTGTTTTTTTTTTTGCAATAATAATTAAAAAGGTCGATATTAAATCTGAAATTTGGCAAAGACATAGAAAAACGCAACAAAACCCTATGCGCTCAATATTCTAGCTACACAGAGTTACTTCGCTTTGTGCATATAAAAAGTGTATAACTAACTTTTTTGTTTATCACTGATATGTGTAAAAAGGTGAAAGTATTTGAAATTTGAATTCCTTGCCCGAACCATAAATGGTCAGCATCAACAACGTACAAAACATTTGGGTGAGAATTTCTATAAATTCTAATTTTATAGTTGAGATTGTCAAAACAAAATTGGTATTAAGAGACTTTTACTGTTTAAGTATTTGCTAGAAACAAAGTTCATTTGATCTGATCAAAGTTACTTTTTAATTGACACTCGCTTCTGAATCAGAAGGCATTGGACAAATTCGCATAAAAGTGTTTTTTTTCTTTTTTTTCCTAAATTATTATTCCCACTTGTTAACTCCAGTTTTGCTATCATAACGTTGAGCATGCTCTTTACATATGTTACAGACATGCATGGTGACTCAAATATTAAGAACAGAATGATGTCCTTTTTGTATCTATTCTTGGGTTGCTGTTTCATTGACGTATACCCTACACAACTCCAGTTTCGTAATTAAACACATGTAATAAAGAATTGTAAACAACTAGGCGACGTATTGATGGGCTGGTCCAAAGTCGAGAGTTCGATAACTGCACGTTGATGCTATTTCATTTTGTTAGTTTATTGAGAATTTGGTGTCGATGTCCGACTTTTGAAGTCATGCACCACTAGTCTAGAGTCTCCAAGCAGAAGAGAAGTAGCCTGTTAAGTTAAAGCTTTGAGATTTTCTTTTTCGTTTACATATATTCCCTAATTACGATTGATATGAATAGAAGAAGGTTTGTGTAATATATTTATATTTCAATGATACATGTACAGCAATAAAAAGACACCAACGAAATCCAAACGAGATTTACTAGTCAACTTCGGACCTTGGTACAACCTTCAACAATTAAAGATAAGTGTTTTAACTCTGGATGTCACCAAAATCTAGATCTAGAGTATGTAAGTAGTGAATTATTCTAACAGAGACTATACCTAAAGTCTGCAAACAACTGTGTCGAAGCCGCTTCAAGGTTAAACTATATATTTGATATCATATTTCTCAATTGACCTATCATTTTTCTTGTTATATGACGAAAAAGTACGAAATGAGTACTTCTTTTACGTTTTATTATGTTCCGAGTCCGTTACTTCTGCCGATTAGTGTCCGTTAGTATGTAATTATTAAGATAATAAAATAATTAATAACTTTATAATTCATCGGCATCTAATTGAATTAAAATATGCAAATGGTAAATCTTGGAAGTTACAGTCAGAATAAGCAGAAGTTTTCTATATCATATGTATGTTTCTGGAAAATTCAGTTTGCATAGTCATATTGACTTATCTCTTGTTCATATTCATAGATCCGACGTGGTTGTTCTATGGAAGAGTGTTCACATCGGATGCAAGTACCATAGGTAAGTAGTGGTGGTCAAACAAAAGTCTTTAGTATTGTATGGTGCTCCTTTGTTATGTAGGCACCATTCAGGGGTATCAAAAGATAATTAGTATTGGGAAAGAATGGAATTTCCGGGTAAGAAAATATATCTTCCTATGGACTGATACCTTGGAAGCTAGCACATTTAAGAACCGAATCAGCGTATCAGTCTAGATTTAAGACCGGTATACTCAAATAATGTTGATATGTGAACGTCTGTAATATGCTGTAACATTTGCCGATGAAAGTTTATGATAATGGATCTATTAATCAACCAATCTTGTTTTGAGAAAATATCGTTGTATACTTATGTTCAATATTGCGTCTCCACAGAAAAAAATATATAGAACTGTTCGAATTTAATCAAACAGACGGTGTCGTATGCACCATAGATGTATGCACCAATAATGCAATAATCAAAAGATACAGTGAAGCATCTCTATATCTGTGTTCTAAAAACTACTAAAGAATTCCTGAATGTTAAAATTCCAGAAACAACAAGAATACTAACTAAGCTTTTGGCTAAAAACAAGAATATTAATATGCGGCGAGATTAAAATAAACATTTTCCTTTAAAATTAGTTTGGTGATTATATGCTTTCTCCTTTTATCTTGATCTCTGATTTACAAAAGGTACAAGACAAAAAACAAATAAGAACTCTGTCTGAAAGAACACTTTATTCATTAATGTTGGTATTACACATAAAATGAAAGAAAGTTAAATGTATTTCATTAACTTTATATGAGTGATACGAAATTTGCAACAATATAAAAAAAGAAACAAATGTTTTTTGGTACTTCCGGGTTTTTTTTTTTGTCGTAGGACTGCTGTCCATTGACGCTAAAACACCTATAATTATATTCAAATAATGTTAAGGTTAAAATACTAAACTTAAGTGAAGAGTATACGAACACTTTAAAATCATGTTATTCTTTTCTACATTACCAGATATTCATTTAAATGAGATAGTATTCCATAACTGCTGTTGCAGAAGCAAGCTACTTAAATTTTATTCTAATCCATTGTTATATAGGATTGACATAAACGAATTATCAGTTAGTCGTTTCTGTAGGTTTTTACAGCGATATAACGGATATTTATAGATTTGTAAACCAACCATGATGACAAAATATATCTGCTTTCAAAAAACGACCCATACAATAATTGAAATGTTTTCGTTTGAAAGTATTGTATAACCCTATGGGATATGAAAGTATAAGTGAATGAAGTGATTTCACGACCAGCAATTTCTATGTCTCCCCTGCGTCGACAACTACTAGAATTTCCATTTACAATGCAGAATGCTTAAATATGGAGAAATTATTTTAAACGGTATATTTATTTGTAAAGTCACGCATCTCTGAGGTTTTTGTGGTAAATCTGAATGAAAAATGGAGATTTCAATTAAAATTATGAAATTTGTTTATAAACCTATTTTCAGATCACGGTACTAAATGCGCATTTCTACAATTACCGTTATTTTAGTGATGCCCGAGGCCACAATTTAATTAAATCCAAAATATAATACAAAATTGTAATAGCTGATATATCCGAAAAGGATAAAAAGAAGTATAGCATAACCCAGACAATGAACTGAAGCTATTCATGACGGAGATACATGTAGTCCATAATATAAAATGATTTTTAAGACTTATAACATAAAATTTCAATAAAATGGCTGAATATTCGTATGGCAGTACAGAAGTTACTGTATTTGAACAACTGGGCTAGTAATACACTTGGCAACAAACAGACCACTATCAGATGTTTAGACCTAGTAGTAGTAATAACATTAACGTTACCCAATTCATTTCGGCAATGTATGTCTCTTGTAAGTTTGTAGGTATAGACATACCAATAATAGATTATCTACGTAAGATATTGTTTTACTATATATACACGCCTCTCTCTTTTTGACTGAATGTCGTGGTCTCATTTTATCGTCCTTACCTGGAATGCATGAACTCCAAGTTCTAAGTTCGATCCTCAACCAAGTCAACCTAAAACTTTGATATTGGGGTTGTGTAGCTGCCCATCAACCAAATGCCTTTCTAGAGTAGAGTAAATACATGCCGACTTGGATGCAGAATTAATAATGTGTTCAGGTTCAAGTGAGCTAGATATTTATTTCAAGTGCTACTATCTAGAGAGCTAGCACATTTAAAGTCAGATTAAGTTTCCCAGCTTTGTACCAGGTTCCAGTAATAATACTAAATGCTGAAAGTTTAATAGATGAATTGTCTTACCTTCTTTGTTACCATTACCATACGTGCTTTTTAATTTAGTGGTTTTCTAGAATTGTTAAATTCGTAGATGGAATCAAAAGGAAACGAACATTTATGACAATTGGTTTAATATAAAAAAAAAAAAGAACATGTGGTATGATCGCCAATGGGACAACTCTCCACAAGAGACCAAATGACACAGAAATTAACAACTATAGGTCACCGTACGGCCTTCAACAGTGAGTGGAACCCATACCGTATAAAAGACCCCGAAATGACAAATGTTAAACAATTCAAACAAAAACTAACGGCCTGATTTATGTACAAATGTCCATTTCTAAGAATGTTTTTTACTAGAATGTCGATATTTTCTTGCAAATATCGTTTCTTTGGACTTAAAAAAATGTATGTTGATACTTTTTTTTTATTATGAACAATCAAAATGGAACTTAATGTTAATATTTCTATAAGTTTATATTAAATATGTTATTTATCATATTTCGGAAGTTCAATGACGTCAATGTATGGACGAAAACGGATAAAAAAGTTGTTAAAAAATCACATTAACTAGCACAGCCAAGTTGTGAAAGACGGTCATATACCTGACTCGATATACACTTGACCTAAAATAGTTGGAGGCGGATGTTTGGTAGTTTGGTGGTTTTCTCAGGGCGATTTAGAGCTTGATATATTGTGTGGATACTTGTCTATCATGGAGTATGTTGGGTTTACTACGCCAATGAAACAGCAACGCAGCGAACTAAATAACCAGGAGACAGAGATAATGACTGTATGTTGACATAGAGATACATTGTAATGAATGTATGTTGACATAGAGATACATTGTATGACTGTATGTTGACATAGAGATAATGACTGTATGTTGACATAGAGATAATGACTGTATGTTGACGTAGAGAT